TAACACAGTATTATTAAAAATTCGTTGATTCCTCAAACTTTAGCCAAATTAATACCTACAAGTCTGCCAATACCACACATGTATAAGTAGGTATTAAAATAAGGAAAATATTACATGAGACTTGTCACAAGTCCTGAAAAGACATGAAAAGTTGCACAATGAAACATCATGCACTGAGATATATCAATATTTCAATGAATCAAAAACATACAAGAACAGGACTGAATCTAGGGTGTATGTATGTGGTCCGCCTGTGAAGTCCGCTCTAATGAGATTCTTCGTCCATATTTCGCTTGTCGGGTAGTCTTCTCATGTGTTACAACCCCTCTCCCCCGTACAGGGACGGTGATTGGGAATCTGGGTAGTGAAGTAACGGGTTGTTTTGTTAGGAGACTTGAGGGTGGGGGAAAGGGAGAGGAATTGATTTGGGAGGGGAATGGGATGGGATATATGAGGAATAAGGAATATTGTTTAATGTTTGCCTCAGGTCAAAGTGAGTCAGTTGTTTAAATCGTCTTTGTCGTTTTGTCATATTTCACCCTCTGGCCTAATATACAAGTTCATAATTTTGGTAGTTTCAGTTAATATTTACATTCTCCGAAACAAGAGCATTAAGAACCCAAGGCCTAACAGAATAATGGATAACGAAAAATAGATAAGTTATATAGGAAAAATTAAATGAACACATTGAATTAATTGATAATTGGTAGATGGTAATTGATGATAGTTGATAATTGAATTAATAAGAAACAAGCACACACATACACACACACACACACACAATGATAAAGAAATTTCTTTTGCTGTGGTGAGAATCCATACAAGGCAGAGACAGTGACTACCAGAAGTGAAACTGTGTTAAAACATCACCATAAGTTAAGCATATAAGACAGCGCCATAAGACAGCACCAGCAAATAACAGTAAGAGGAACTTTGAATATAATAAAGCCGACAGCATACATGTGTCATTAAGTCAGTTCAGATTCGTGTAGAGAGTACATATGGTAAAACAAGTTGGAAAATTGAATAAAACAGTTCATTCAATTTTTTGAGTTCAATAGCTGAGAGATGAGGGTGTGGGGTGCACAGACCATGTTATGAAAGATTATGGAGGATAATAGCAACATTTTTCTTGAATTAAGAAGTATTTGGTGGCAGACTATAACTGCCATTTTCCAGGACACACATTACCAATTAAGATTTGTAACTAATTGATACATACATACATACATTTCAGTGAATAATGGATGAGAGACTTTTCTATTTTACATGAATTTTAACTGCAATTGTGATGAAAAAGGTAATTTCTTGTGTATCAAGGGTTTTATGTTTTTGTATCTCTTGAATATTATGTTTAAATGTCAGAAATGTCAACAAAGCACAGTAGGAGTAGTTGCATGGTCATATTTTCTAAATATTAGAAAAATACTTAAGGGCAAGTTCTTGCTGAGGTTTACAACTTTTCCCTTCTCTCTCTCTTCTTTACCTCCTCGCAGTACAGCCTATCTACACCTCCCTCTCTCTTTTCTCCATCACATCTTCATCCCTTATTGTTTCATCTCCCATTCACTGTCATTGCTGCTAGTTGGGTTTCAAACTTTACAATATATCCTGAGGCCCCTCCCTCCATTTCCAACCACTATCTTAAATATTCTTCCTAACAACCCTCTACTTTCTTTTTCCTCCCTCTTTCCTTTCCTCCTCCATCCCCAGATCTCAGATCCCCTAAACCAAATACTACTAATGATACTCCTTTTACAACTAAATGTATTAAAATTACAAATGAACGGATGTTTAAAACTTTAATACAAATAATGTAATAAATGTAAATGAAACGAGACATTAGAATGTGACTTGGCAGCCTATTTGAACAATGGCCAGTGAGAAAATATAATTAATATAATTTCAATAAGGAGAAATAATTCAAATGTTCAAGGATTATGTAAATAAAGAAATATTATAATTAGGTAATTTTGAATTTTAGAATGTTTTGTTTTGCAAGTTGAGTTGATTGTAAAATGACTATCATTAAGGTAACTGCGGCTGGCACGATGACTCCTAAGATTCAAGAGAGTTAGATGGGTACATGGATTTTGAAGATTTCACTGAAATAACAAAGTATATACAAACCTCTAGAACAACCTACTTAATGCACAAATAAGCAATTCAACTTCAACAGGCGCAAAGAGAAGAGTTTTTTCATTTAACAGGGAAAACTCTTAGAGCTATAATGCTACAGTAAGACAACAGACCAAGGTTACAATTACAATCCAAGCTTATGAAGACAACAAAATCTTATAGGGCTAGAAAATGCAAATTTTAATAAGTAATTAATGTAAATACTTGAAGTTGTTACTTCCCAAACAATTTATGTCATTTTACTCATTGCAGTATTTATCAGAAGATGAATCAGGCTAATCAAAACCTGAACCTTGAAATCATTTCAGCTATTTCCATAGCCTGCAGAGATTACTAAAGAATAACCAACTAGTGGTCCTACAACAGCACATACTTTCTTGCATTACAAATAACAATAATGTACCCCTATAATATTGCATCTTGATTCCTACTATTTCTTTAATCAGTCTTGAAACAATGTATTTTGCAAAATGTAAATACAAAAGAAGCACGAGAGAATTTGAAATTTCAGAAAGTTCATAGATTTTAATAAAAATTAGTCTCTGCCATTTTTATAAGCACACTTTCCTCTCAATGAAAAAATTTCTAGTAAAAATTTATCTTTGAAATCAACGTCCAACCACTTCATGTACAAGAGATTGCGAATCTCTACGAAATTCTCACGATTTAAATACAAATTAAACTTCTGAAACTCTGAAAAAATGTGTGCTAAATATTTAAAGATCAAATATTGAGAAAAAGACATCTTCAAACAAATTTTAACTTTTGAAATTACCCAGATTTTCACAAAAAATCTTACAATGCCATATTATAATTCAAACTTCGCTCTATTCAGGCAAAAAGTTAACTGAAAACTTTTGGAGGTGAAGTTGAGAAAATATTGTAATGTATTATTTTAATGTGTGGTTTTATTTAAGTCCTATAAATTTCATGAATGATCATTCCTGTTAGGGATATGGAATTATATGCTAAACAAACACATTCAATAGCTTCCAGATTTTAGATTACAGAAGATAATTGTTTGAATAAAAAGCAAATCCCATCCAAGTGATTCTTGTAAACCTCACTTTCATAAGTTAGGAATTTGAATTTGAATTAATCTTTTGTGCTTCATTTACTTAAGTGTTTTTCAAGTACTGGATGGAATACAATTAAAGTTCCGAAATCATAATTTTACATAGTCATTTCCAGTAATTTGAGAAAGTATGAGTTGTTGGAGCAACTCTAGTTTAGTACGAGCACTCTTTTCCAAGATACAGTATACACATTTTGACAAAACGTCCAAAATTTCATGGGGTTGTTTGCTTTTTTATTTCAGTTGTAATTGAAGAACAGCAGATGGGTTGATATAATTGAAGAAATATTTTCATATTGAAGTAAAAAAATTATTTGTCATGATAATAAAGTAAGAGATAAATCTGTCATTTTCACATACATTATGTACAAAATTTGTAACAAAACCTTTAATGTTAATTAGTCTGGATGAAAACACCCAAATGTCACTACTTTTGGCCCACATTAATTAGGTCAGATAATTTTATTAAAAAACAAATGATAATAAAGGTTAATTAATCCAACAAATGTTTTCTTTATAATTGGGCATGTTTCTAAAATGACAAAACATAACACGTTTAATTTGATTTAAAACATTCCTTAATGAATAACCTTTAATTTGATATAGATTGAAGTTGGTAGCTCTATTTTTATTATGGTATTTCTTTTTAATTGAATGTTTATCATTTTAAACTGAAGTTTACTTTGATTCAACAATCACAAGAAATCTTTTGCCAAAAAGTTTTGGTTGAATGCAATGAGAATTCAAATGTATTGCCAAAAAATTTTGGTTGATTGTAATGAGAATTTAAATGTATCTGTTTGTCTTTAATTTTTCGGTGAAATCAATCAAATAAAAACTACTTCATTAGAATACTCATCAAACACTTGTTAAGTGTTTATTTTATTTCAAAACAAGCCTGAGATGGAGTTCTTTTAATCAAGATAATGACAGCATTTAATGACTCAGAAACTGAAGGACAGAAGATTACTGGTGACATTTAGGAATAGATCAATTAAGTTTTGACCACTATTGATTTTTTGTGCAAACAAAGTCAGAGACAATGAATTCAGCCAATGTTGGGAAAACTTGTTTAAAAAATACACCTTGCATTTCAAGCGGTGTTATTTGGAAAGGAACTAATTCATTTTTGCATTTTTCCTAGAATATTATGAAAATTGAATGGTGAAAAATCATTTACCCCTTGTAAATAAATGTATAAAAAATATAAATGTCTTGGTAATAAGTACAATAGTTACACTTTTTCCCCCCCAATTCCATTTCTGCTAATATTTTTTTATTGTATAAATCAGATTGTGTAGTAAATTAAACAATTCACTTTCCCATTTGTGCAGCATTATTCAATGAACTTTCTTCTTTTTTTTTTATATCTTTAACTTTTCAAATTTCAATTCATTTCAGTTGATTGCATAGAGGTACCAACCTTTCTATATGAATGTCAAAACAAATGCCTGCATGAAATTTTAGCTCAATGTTCTCTTATTTATAGCTTTAGCTGATCTCGCTTCTGGTGCTACCATTTCTCTAACAAAACTTTTCCTTCGCTCTGAAAAATATATCAAAGCCATTGTTGCCTTCAATACAACATACAAAGGCAATGAGTTGATCAAAAACATAATAAATTACACATCCTTTCATAAGGCCTCCTCCTCAACTATAAATTGGATTTGATTTAAACAAAGTCTTCATTCTCGATTACTTTCTGCACTTTAGATTCAAAATAGTTTTACCATAAAAAAAACATTTTCTCACTTTTCACAAGATTAAGTAGATGAAAGGTACTCACCTAGGTGACTTGTTGTTTTCTTTGTTCTCTGTCCCATCATTGTCATTACTCAGAATACTATTATTAGTGTTGCTAGATGTTGTGCTGGTAATAGGTGTGCCAATCGCCACAGTGACAGTATTGTTTCCACTTGTTAGCACACCACTGGATACATTACTGGATACATTACTGGATACGTAAGTGGAAGCAGAGGTTGACGAGCATGGCAATGACGTAGAAGGAGCTGGTGAAGGTACTGAAGACACAGTTGATGTTGTAATTGTAACAAATGTTGACGTTGTGGAAGGCGTTGTAGTTGTAGTGGCAGTGGTCACTGTAGTTGTCGTAGTTGTCGAAGTACTTGTAGCTGATGACGCAACAACCTGATTCACTTCACTAGAATTCGATGATGTTGACGAGGTGACGGTGGTGACTGAAGAAACTGATGTAGCTGTTGTTGTGCTCGATGTCACACAACTAGTGTTTGAACTTGAACTAGAGGCAGTTGTCGTTAGGCTGCTAGATGCTGATGAAGTCACATTCGCAACACTATTGTTCGGTTGCTCCTGTTTCTGTTGCTGCTCACGCTGCAGCCTAGTTGTAACACCTGAACTCAAAATCTCTGGTAGATTATTTTGCGAAGCACCTGATGGTTTGCCGTGAGGATTATTACGAGAAGAACGTGTACGCTGACGTGATTTGCGCAATAACTGTTTATAGTTTTCAGTCTTCTTACTTAGATAATAGTACTGCACACAATCACACACACTTTTGCGATCTAAATAAGAACCTATTACTCCAAAGTTTTTAGGGTGTTGAAGGTATTTCTCTTTAAATACTTCTTTTTCTGCTGGAGTCCACACATTCAGCAGCTGCCGTTCTTTGTACTCTGCTTCAAAGTCCTCAATTCGACCATTGTTGTTGGCATATGTAATCCTTCGTTGTCTAGGATCCAACAAAATAGGTGGAACAACAGCATAAGAACGCATTTTCTTGTCCTCCATCTATGAAAATCAGAAAGACAGGTATTTACATCAGTGTCAATTTCACCAATTACCAATAAAAGACAAGTTTCACAAATTTAATCTATATCTTCGAAACTATGAAATAAACTAATACAAAAGCAACTTCAAAAATTGCTTCTATGATAATCGAGAATAAAATTTAAAAAATGCAGCAATTTTAGCTCTTTACTTTGTACATTCTTTCAAACACATTCAAAAACTTGAAATTGTTCAACCCAGTTTTATAGAATAGTAGCAAGACATCTTGGTCTCCAAGATCCCTTTATACATAATGGCTACGATCAAATCTTTGCTGTCTTAAATCTGCTGTTGTTCAAGTCTTCTAGACATCTCTCAGATGCATACTTTTATCTAAATTGATACAAAATCAATTACACTGTCCTTTGTTTTGAGAACATTTGAATTTCACAGTTCCTACTTCATCACTTAGAAAAATGTACACATTCAGAACAGATACATACAACTTATCCAATACAGCAAATAAATCCATCAACAGACTATGCACAACACTAAACAAACTGCATATTGATGTATATCAAGTGTCTTCTTGCAGCTTTGCGATCAAAGCTAGAGCACTGATGTTACGCTATGATTAATGTAATTACAGAATGTGTAAATCTTGTCTCTATTAATTCATATATAAATTGTAAATTGACGTTTTTAAGTTTTTACTAAATAAATAAATAAATAAATAAATAAGTAAATAAATAAATAAATAAATAAATATGAAAATATATAAATATAAAATACAAAAATATATAAATAAATTATTTATCACAATATACAGACAATTTGTCCATTTATGTAAAAAATTAGAAATAAAATACAAAAGTATGCACAAGTAACTATGAATCAAAGAACTATCTGAACATACAAGAAAGGAAATAATTAATAGACAAATATTCACACTAAAAAATATCTACATGCAATAACTAACATCTAAATAAAATAAAACTTAAAAAAAGGAAACAGCTTTCAATCCATTAAGATTCTTTCAACTTCTTCTACTGAGCAACCATTACAAATCAATGGTTGTTGAAGGATCTGATCAAAGAAGATACTCCCTACTATTTAGGATTATTTATGAAAAGCAGAAAGCAAAGTGAAAAAAAAGGAATGGATTTGAAATGTTTGTAGTAGAGACTTAATACCATTAATCGTAAAAATAACTTCAATCATATGTAGGCAGATTAATGGATAAAACTATTATACTTCATGTTTAATTTGAATTGATAATTAAATATTTTGATTTATACTTGTTTTGTTGATTCAAATTCTATATATTGTGAACAAAGTGGTTTTCATGTCCGTAATGCTAATTAAATAATGAATACCCAAATCTCAATCTAAAGAATACATTGAGAGCAATTTTTTATTTTCAATCCAAAGTGATTTAGAATTATTCTTTAACAAAAACTCATTATAAATGGGATCTGGTTTAGATTTTAATGACATTTTAATTTTTTTCAATGAAAAGCCAATTCCTCAAAGTTTCCAAATACCATATTTGTCCTAAGGTAAGATGAGGTTTTTTCCTTAATATGTTAGTCCAAAAATGG